TGGCTTAACCGTCGGACCACAACGATAAAAATCTCTGCTACTAGCAGTACTTTTACTGACAGTAGCAGTACTTTTACTGACAGTAGCAGTACTTTATCTGACAGTAGCAGTACTTTTTCTGACAGTAGCAATGGTCGAGGTCGAACCTACCGACGAGGCAATTTACCTAATTGAAATTAACGAGCTTGTTAAAGACTTCCTCAGGCAGAATGTAAAAGGCAAGCTTGTTAACGGTTGGATAACGGGAAGGGCTGCATTGAATCTCGAGACTTCGACCGGAATTCCAATTCAAATACCAGACGGGACAGCCTACGACGACATAAAGCAAGCAAAGAAGGAAGCCATTATAAAGTTCTTTGCCAAGCGTCCTTGGATACTACTTCCAAACAGAGAGAACCCTTTCCCAAGAATGAACCAAATTCTCAAGAGTCTTCTCCACTTCTCTGGTCAGCCGTTCTACATAACCTGTGAAGGCGACATCCAACCAATTCAGTAAACCTTAACGTTTAACTTCACTTTTTTTATGTTTTTACTCACACTCGTACTCAACAGGTTTGTGTACAACTATTTCAACTGTGAACCTTGTATTGACCGGTCTTCCTGTAAATGCAAGTTTGGTCAATACACAGTTTATGGTGGCAAGAAGGACAGTGGGGAATGTTATTCTGACATCTGTTGTTGCGCTCGAGAGAGAATTGAAATTCCAGACCCGACACCAACAAGAACTCCAACACCAACACTCAAGTTGCCAAAGACTCATGTGAAGAAGAAGCCTTCTGGTAAGTTTCTTATAGCCATATACATGGCACGCTTTGAGTAAAAACATTTTTTTCATTTTTTGAATGAAGCAAGTTAAATTCGTCCCACACCAATCTCAATGGACCGATGAAGAGTTTCAAGCTATGGTTGAAGGTGTTGAGAACGACATAGACGGCGAACTTGAAGGAGCTCAAACCACAATTGCAACCAAAATTGCAGAAGTCAAGGAACAGATAGCTCCACTTAAGGCAACTAAAGCAACCCTTGACCTCATGGATAGTTACCGTTTAGATGTCAAGAGAGGAATAAGACAATTAAAATTGAAACTTCTAAACTACGAAGCTATACTCCAAAAGTTAGCAGAAATGAGAAGACTTTACCAGAGCTACTTACATGTAAGGGACTTACCTTCAAGCAGTCCGACCAAAGATGAATTTTCTGACATTGTCCCAATTTTGTCCGAAAGTCAGCTCAGATGTTTTGAACTGCTCCCAACATATCCAGAATATGAAAATTTGCCTGAACTCTTCCGCAATCTCAAAAAACGTTTTTTGGTTCTCATGTTCGAAACTTTTATCGGAAGAGACAACAAACGTTCAGAAGAAGAACAAGATATTATTTTAAACTTATTGTATGACTTAACTGTCATAACAAGCTTTTTGAAGTAAAACCGTCATTCTCAAACCACTTCATTTTTTCGATGTCCGAACAAGCACCGAAGCCAAACTCAATGGAAGATGTCCTTTCAAGGTTGCCAGACAAGCGCCCAATTCAAATTCAAATTGCCCAATTGAAAGCTCATCTGACAAACACCGTTAAGACTCTCCAAAGTAGTCTTATGTCAGAGATGAAGGGATTTAAAGGTGAGTTCCTCATGAACCAAGCTTCCAATGAAAAAGTCCTGAACGATTTCTCAGAATCGTTGCGCAATTACGAGAGAGAGAACCGAGACCTTGCCCGACTTATCTACCGTTTCTTCGAAGAGATAGACGCCATCTGGAAGGTACTCGGAAAGGACAGAACATGCAACACCGTACTTCGTGAGTACCAAATTGAAGAAGGAATTGTCGAGGAAGAAGAGAAACACGAAGAAGAAGAAGAGGAAGAAGAGAAATACGAAGAAGAGGAAGTTTGGGCAACCCTTGTTGCCGATGACGCTTACGAAATTTCCCAACCCTACCCATACAAAATCCGCAACAGGGAGACCGGCAAGGTTCTTACCCCAGTTCTCAACAACTTGGGACACTTGAACCTTAACCTTCGGAATCGCGGTTCAATTTCCATGGGCAAGCTTGTCGCAATTCAATGGGTTCCAAATCCAGACAAGAAGACGAAGGTCAAACACATTGACGGTGACAAGCTCAACAACCGTAAAGAGAACCTCGAGTGGTTCTAAGAGTAAAAAAATTTATTTTAGGGGGAAACCCCAAGTAAATTTAGGTGTTTAGTTGGATAAGTAGGTTAAATTAATGGTAATTTGGAAAATTAGCTCCCGACCTTTGAATTGGGCTCTTTCGTTATCCCAGTTGCGTAGGAGGTCGTCCCAGAGGAGTTGGTAGAATTGCCAATTCAAGGACGATTTGTCCTCCCAGGCATTGAGGATGTACTGCTCGTAGAGTCTCATGACCTCTGCTTTGCACCAGACACCCTCTCCCTTGGAACGTAAGGCTTCTTCGAAGTGCTCGAATGCGATTGGCTGCTTGACCATCCGAAATGACACTTTTTGTCCGTTTGGTCAACGTTCGTGTCTCGTGCCATAGTCGACGAAAATACAGACAAACAGGTTATATATGAGTTTGAGACCAAGAATGGTGTAACTCGACCTGTCCGATTCAAAGACTCCGAGGGCGACCATGAAATTAAACGGAAATTAGCTAGGAAGGAATATAAAATGGACTGGTTGCCACCACCTCCACCACCTTTACCTGTTCCTCAAGTAAATAAGCCTTTCACGTTCCCAAGAATTCCCACATTTAAATTCAAATTCGAATAAAATTTTTTTATTTCATGCAATGTTTAACTATTTCACCATCTTCTTTAACACCCCCAGTACTTACGCTTGGAGAGGACATGAACTTCGGTGAAAATTTTGTCCAATTTGAATTGACCCATCTTTTCACCGACCACACCCATTTCAATGAGTTTGTTGTATCCTTCTTCGTTCGTCATGAGTGCGTCAATGTTCTCATAGTAAACCTTGACTTTGGATTGACTTCGGAGAAGAATTTGTTGTAGTTGTCAAGTACTGCCTTTGCGAACTGAGGGTAAGACCAATGTTCGACAATAGGTTTTAATGTGGTTACTAAGCCACTTTGACCTTGAGTGAATTCGTACTTCAAAACAAAAGGAGAAAACCTTTCAACAAAGTTGTCGACCTTCTCATAATGTTTACTCTTCATCTCTTGAGGTTTCTTAGTTAGTATACCTATCTTGCGTACGGTGGCACTGCGTTCCACCTTACCCAATATAACGGTTTTGACACTTTACAAAACCGTTAATGTATATTTTACAACACAAGCGATAACACTAATTTAACCTTAAATATTTACAAAGCCGCCAATTTCTTCACCTCACTAATGTAAAAAATAAACGTTCTGACTAACGTTCCCATTAATGTTCTCACTTACAAAAGTATTGCAACTCCTCCCATTGCTGTGCTTCACATAACAGCTCATAATCTTCTGACTCACTTTCTTCTTCATATAGGTCAAAGTCACTGTCATAATTAATGTTTATAAGTTTTGACAAAGCTAATGAAACACACTTACCGTTTGTATCTATTGCTTGTATATATCTTCCATAATGCTCTTTGTCATAAACGCTCAAACTAACTTTACCCTTTCTCCCTCGTATCTGATAGAATGTATTTTCACGAGGAACGAAGAACAAATTCTTGAACTCATGACCGTTGTAGTTTGTTATCTCAATAGTTTTCGTCATTTACATAAAAATAAAATAAAAATAAATAAAAAATAAATGATATCACTACCTTCACGCGTATGAAAACATAGCACAAAAATAAATTTAGGTGAAGTGGTGAAATCTCACCTCTTTTTCACCCGGTTTTTCACCCACTTGAATTCATTGCTTTATAACTCTCTTCCTTGGTTTCTTTTTAGTTGCTTTCTTTACGTCCGTCTCCAACTTGACTGTCTTTCTTCTTCGTCCATAATGATACCAGTTACTTCCACCAGTCAATGGGTCAAATGGTCTTTCGTAAGGGTTTCCATACATTCCATAAGGTCCGTATGGATATACCGCTGGTGGAGAAGAAACATTTTCTTTAGTTCCATCGACTCTATTTAAATGCATTGTTTCACCTTTCATCTGGTCATTAAAGTCTTTTGCGTGTTTTGCAAACTCATCGTCCTTTCCTAAAGCATTTTCTGACTCAGTCGCAACCAAATTGGATGCTTTATTTATGAGCCCTATTTTATTTAATCTTAACTTCTTTGCAACCCAGCCTCCAATCTTTCCTTTATTTGCGTCTAATGTCTTCGAAACTCTTCCTCCACTCATTTTATTTACTGCGTCATAAGCCCAAGTGCTTTTGCTCCAAATGCTAATGCTTTTGTTCCCATTGCGCCTAAAGCTGCCCAAGCTACCATTTACACCATATTAAAATCATCTCTCTTCAATATTATCTCATAAAAGTTCTCGTTACTGGAGAAAGTCAATGAAACATAAACATTCTCACGGGCTTCACCCTCACCGCTTTGCGGTCTATCTAACTTCTTTCTTATCTCATCTATTCGCTTCAAAATGTCTGAACAATTGCTAACATCTTCTACAACAGTTATTTCATCATGAATGACTTTCAAGTACAAGCTCATTTAATATGCAATTAAAATCATCTCAATAATGAGTCCATCCTTTCCATCTTTAGGTAGCACAACATCTTTCATTGAAGAAGGTTCGACAAGTCTTATGTTAAACTTACTGACAAAGTTTGTTATACTATAATGCTTCGGTGGCGAATACATGTAGATTGAAAGACATAATATAGATTCTTCAGCAAATTCACTTATACTGGATTTTATAACAATGTTCTCACGAGACCAAACGCCACCAATTGACAATCTTGTAAGCAATCCTGCTGAACCTTCAACTGTAAACGTCGATGGTAACATTCCACGAAGGTCATCTATTGACATCTTTGAGTCACTGAATTTAAATATTTTCTTAAAGCAATCGTCATTATCTAACCATGCAATAGCTTTGAAGTTTTCATTCGAATATACATCTGCTTCATTAAATGTAAAACCTGACTTCTTTGCAGAGACGATTTTAAAATCTATTGCATTTGTTTCAAAATTATATGCTATGGTAACTTCTGAAGGTAATGGGTGTCCTTCTGCTATAAGTTGTTCTTTCAATACCGTTTGAAGCTTTGTGTTAAAAACTTTCATGCCATCTCCTGTATCTAAGTTCACATACACAGCAACAGGGAAACTATCTTGCTTCTTTGTTTCATCATTATATCTCAAAACATTAAAGTTCTTCAATAATATTGTTCTTCCTGCTGGAATACTTCTAACTTGTCTTATTTCAATAGCTTTCTCACCTCCTACATACTCTACCCAGTGTCTTGGATATTCATAAGTATACTGACTTTCTTGAATTTTGGTTGGTTTCATCATAACGTGTTCATAGTATATCTTTATACTCTTGTCAGTTAGACTCGGTGCTATGTTCTGAATATTTCTGACTTGCATTTTTAGTGGAGATAAAATGAAGCATTTAATACATGACGTAGATGAAGACATGAATGAAACTACAGACAAACTTAACTCTTCTCTTATTCTTCCTTTCAGCAAAGATTATGAATTCTGTTCAAATGGTGTGTATTTCTATTGTGGAAAGATGGGTTCAGGAAAGACATTTAACCTCATTCGTCATATACTCATAACAGAGCGTTTAGGAAACGACTCTTACTATGACCAAATCATTGTATCAGCAACTTCAGACTCTATGGATTCAACAACGAAAACATTCATGAGTAAAGTTCAAGCATCTGTCGTTAAAGTTCCAGATAGCGAACTCATTGAATTTCTTCAACGTTACATTCGACGTAAGAGAAAATATTATGCTATTGTAGAGTTCATACAGTCAGGAATGCAAAAGACTTCAGAAGAGATGGAAAGAATTATTGACAAACACCACTTACGTCAGTACTCAGGAGTTTACGATATGAAACGACTTACAAACTACATTCTGTCAAAACTTTCAAAATACCCCTTCAAAAAGTATCCTTCAAATACTCTGCTCGTTTGTGACGACTTCGCCGGAAAAGGTTTAGTGTCAAAACCAGACTCACCATTAGCTAACATCATTACTAAAGTCAGACATTACCATTTAACTGTAGCAATACTTATGCAAACATGGCGTTTCCTTGCTTTAAACATAAAACGTCTCATAACTGACTTCGTTATAGGGTTGTTAAAAATATCAAAAATTCGCGTTTTGAAGACACCATGGTGTCTTATAATTTTCCCTTCCTTATTGGCGTGTAGAAATAAATGTGCCAATAGATTGAAGAAGAAGAATTGTTTTTCTCTTAATGAACTTTAATCCTTTTGATATAAGAATATTAAAAACATTAATATAATTTCGATTTGAGTAGGGGTAATTTTAGCTAAAAGTGACACACTTGTAAAAAGTGACACACCCGTGAAGGGTGTGATTACCGATCGGTAATTTCGACAGTTTAGAATTTAAAATTTTTTATGGAACTGTTGCGAGTTTCATAAAGAATTTAAGGAATATAAGCAAAGATTTGAATCAAAATCTTAGACCTAAGCCGCTCGATTCGCTCGCGGCTTCCGCGAATTACAGATCAGCAAAGATTTGAATCAAAATCTTCGAACTAAGCCGATCGCTTCGCTCGCGGCTTTCTTTATTATTTTAAATTTGCATATTTCCATCAAAAGTTCATAAGGTAAAAAATTTCGTTTATTTTTACTAAGAAAAAAAAGGTTTTTGATAATAAATTTATTTTATTTCGAAAAAGTAACAATAATCGTAAAAGGGTATTGATAGGCTTGCTAAAGTAACTAATTTTAGCTGTCAAATACTTTTGTATTTTGATGTAAATTAGTATAAATTTGTTTTTACTTTTATTTCGAAAAAGTAACAATAATCGTAAAAGGGTATTGATAGGCTTGCTAAAGTAACTAATTTTAGCTGTCAAATACTTTTGTATTTTGATGTAAATTAGTATAAATTTGTTTTTACTTTTATTTCGAAAAAGTAACAATAATCGTAAAAGGGTATTGATGGGCTTGCTAAAGTAACTAATTTTAGCTGTCAAATACTTTTGTATTTTGAAGTAAATTAGTATAAATTTGTTTTTACTTTTATTTGAGAAAGGGACAGACTAGCCCATTGTCACTTTTTAATTTAGCAAATGAACGCTTATGGAGTGGAGTTTTTGGGTAAATCTGATTTGCTTATAAATGAAATAAAATCAAAAGAAACCATATTGGCATTATATTATGCAAAAATAAATGATCTTACTTAGTACTTTTAAAGTTAATTTCAGAAAAAATTTGACACAATGGTATCCGGCACATACAAGTGGTGTACAACCAAATCTTCGACTCGATGAACTTGTCATCGAGTTATATTCCAGTGTTGTTCCTTCATTCCTGATTAAGTTGCAAATTAAAGGTCTGGATTCAGAGAGAAGTGTTAAAGTTATCAAAAAAGTCACAAGAGATTTCGAAGAAATGACACAATTTAAAAAAGTCGAATGCATCAGTATGCTTGAAGCTGTTCAGAAAGGTCTGAAAAATGATACACTTGATCCCAACATTGTTTACTCAACATTAAAAATATTATTGCAAAGAAAACATTTGATTTAATAAACATTTAATTTATTATAATTAATTTTTTATTACAGTATAGTAAAAAATGCTATAAATAAATTATTATATTTTATTAAAATGTGACTTTTAGTAGTGAATAAAATAAATCAGGAATTGGGAAAGAAATAAGGTTAATTAAAAATAATGAAAATTACAAGTTTAAGGTTAATGAAAAAGTGACAATGGGCGAGTTTGTCCCCCACTCTTTTTTAAAAGATAAAAATTTTAATTTTTCTAAAAATATGTTAGAAAAAAAGTTTGCTGACATTGACAAAAAATTTGTGAATGTTTTAAACAAGAACAAGAGGAAGTTGGAAAATGCTCAGATAAAGCCTATACATGAAAAGTTCTTATTTGCCCAGAATGGTATAACAGGTCTAATTGCACCACCTGGGTCGGGTAAGACTTTCACTTATCTTAAAATGGCTGCACAACAACAAGAACTAGATGAGAAGAACCCATTCTATGAGTTAGTTGTTATTTGTTCGACTTCTGGTCAATTTGACCAAACCGTCAATTCGTTCAAAGATATTATAAAGAAGTCTAAGTTAGTATGTATAAAGGATACTGAGTTGTTAGATTGGATAAAGAAGTACCAAAGAAGAGTTTTGAAATATAATGCTATAAATGAGTATATAAATTCTAAGTTTAAAGACCCAAATGAGGAAATGCAGAGAATATTAGAGAAGAAACACTTCAGAAACAAACAGAAAGAGATAGAATACATTTCGAAGAAATTGCAATCTTACGATTGGAAAACGTACCCTCATAGGTGTCTTCTTATCTTAGATGATTTCGCCTCTCATCCTTTGTTAAAGAATAGAGAACAAGACATGTGTCGAATTCTTAAGAAACTTAGGCACTTTAACATTTCAGTTGTCATTTGTGTACAGACAGCCAAGAGTTTAAGTAAGGATGTAAAGAGAATACTTACTGACATAATACTTTTCCCCGGATTGTCCGAAGACGATTTCATGGAACTTATGAAAGAGTCCATGGCAGGTAAGTTTGACAGACATGAACTATGGGAGAAGTATAAAGTCATACAAGACCCTCATACTTCTTTCAGAATTCATATCTACGCAAACAAAGTTCAAAATGTAAAAAGTCAAGCTTGAAAATTAAATGTTTAGTCTTAGTAAGATGGTAAATTCTTAAAGCAAATACCATTGCTGAGTTTTATGTACGTGAAGAGAAGTACAATGAATTCAATTACGAGTTGGAAAAAGTGACATTTTTTCATGTCCGAAGACTTGAAGGTGCAACACTTCCAAAATACCGACGAACTCAGAAGAGCAGCATGGCAGTATGTTCTTGACAACTTCTTTGAGTTCTCCAGGTACACCTTGGAAAATGCTGAAGAACTCCGACACAGAGAATTTGGAGAAATTGCAGTCCAATACTACCTTGAAAAACAAAGGGTAAAATAAGACTAAAAACTTAACGTTTAAAAAGTGACATTTTTATGAGCTCCGAGTCACCGAGAAAACTTGGTCAGATGTTAGCAGCTTACTTCCCTGAGGAGGATGGAAGCGTTACATACATAAGGTTCAAAAACAACGAACCTGGAATTGCGTACCAAATTCGCAATTACATGACCATGGAAGAGTACGAAAGGTTTCTACAAGAGAAACCAGCTCTAAACAACTCAGAAAAGAAAGAATAAAAAGTTTAACTCGTAATTGTTTATTTTTTACTTGTATGGGCAAGCTGCAAGAATGAAGTCGACTATCTCAGTCTTTGTCTTGACCAGTTGGACTGCTCTTGTAAGCACGTCTGTTTTGCGGTCTCCAGGTGTTTGACCTTCGTAATTGCGCATGTTCTTGAGTGCTCCAGCTGTAAATGGCTGTAAGATGAAGAGTCTCTCAGACTGCTTGAGGTAGTCGTCACGGTCACGAACCGAATCTGTGGTACGAGTCGAATTGGTCGACCTTAGGGAAGAGACTGAAAGCCTGTCATCTTCCATAGGGGCTGTGGCATAATCTTTGCGTAAACGGTTCAGACCTTCTTGAAAAAACCAGAATTTTCGAAAAAGTGACACCAACTATTAAAGTTATTTTATTACTAGATTTATTTACAAATTATAAGATAATATCATTAACAAAATATATTTTTAATATAAATAAAAAACTTTTTTTATACAAAAAATTACAATCAATCGATAAATATTATAAAACATTTATTCCAAAAAGATTAAGTAATAGGTGGGATCCTGCATATAATATAATTTTATGTCATAAAGCTTACAAATTTTAGATGGACCACAGTGAGAATGTGAGTGGTTAATTTAAAGGTGGTCTGATAAAGATATCGAAGCTTACTCAACACAGCATGAAGCAGTTTCTAATACACAATCTTACTAGTGGTGTTTCGGTCGCCAGCGCTCTCATAGGGGTGCTGATTTCAAAAACCACTACTTCAAATTATTCAACAATACTCAATGCAGCATGAAGCAGCTACTACTGCTGTATCTTACTGGTAGCGTTTTGGTCGTTGGCTCTTGCACAGTCTCTCAGATTTTCAAAATTTTTTTCAACACTATCTTGTTTCGCTCTCAGAAAGCTATCCTACAAAGACATCGAAGCTTACTCAACACAGCATGAAGCAGTTTCTAATACACAATCTTACTAGTGGTGTTTCGGTCGCCAGCGCTCTCATAGGGGTGCTGATTTCAAAAACCACTACTTCAAATTATTCAACAATACTCAATGCAGCATGAAGCAGCTACTACTGCTGTATCTTACTGGTAGCGTTTTGGTCGTTGGCTCTTGCACAGTCTCTCAGATTTTCAAAATTTTTTTCAACACTATCTTGTTTCGCTCTCAGAAAGCTATCCTACAAAGACATCGAAGCTTACTCAACACAGCATGAAGCAGTTTCTAATACACAATCTTACTAGTGGTGTTTCGGTCGCCAGCGCTCTCATAGGGGTGCTGATTTCAAAAACCACTACTTCAAATTATTCAACAATACTCAATGCAGCATGAAGCAGTTTCTAATAAATATATACATATATAAATATATACATATATAAATATAAATATACATATATAAATATAAATATACATATATAAATATAAATATACATATATAAATATAAATATACATATATAAATATAAATATACATATATAAATATAAATATACATATATAAATATAAATATACATATATAAATATAAATATACATATATAAATATAAATATACATATATAAATATAAATATAATATAAATATACATATAAATATAAATATACATATATAAATATAAATATACATATATAAATATAAATATACATATATAAATATAAATAATATACATATATAATATAAATATACATATATAAATATAATATACATATATAAATATAAAATTACATATTATATAAATATAATATACTATATATATACTAAATATATATAATAACTAAATATAATTCAAAAATAGTGTTTGGAAATTTAAGGTTAAGTGTCACTTTTTCTACTTGTCACTTTTTCGTAAATTCTACCACACTCCTTAGGGAAGAGACTGAAAGCCTGTCATCTTCCATAGGGGCTGTGGCATAATCTTTGCGTAAACGGTTCAGACCTTCTTCGAACTCTTGGTCTCTCTTCGATTGAGATTTGAATTGCTGGGGTGGAGCTTGCTGGAACAACCAAGGGTTGGGGAAGTAGGCATAGGTTGAGGGGGTAGTTCGGGAAGCCTT